CGATTGCCTCCAACCTAACAGCAATGCCCTCCAACCTAACAGCGATGCCCTCCAACCTAACAGCGATGGCCTCCAACCTAATAGCGATGGCCTCCAACCTAACAGCGATGGCCTCCAACCTAACCGCAATGGCCTCCAACCTAACAGCAATGGCATCCAACCTAACAGCGATGGCCTCCAACTCAACAGTGATGGCCTCCAACCTAACAGCAATGGCCTCCAACCTAATAGCGACGGCCTGCAACCTAACAGCACAACGCCAACCTAAGAGCGATGGCCTTCAACCTAACTAAGAGGGATGGCCTCCAACCTAAGAGCAATGGCCTCCAACCTAAGAGCGATGGCCTCCAACCTGAGAGCGATGGCCTTCAACCTGACAGCGGTGGCCTCCAACCTAAGAGCGATGGCCTCCACCCTAGTAGCGATGGCCTCCAACCTCATAGCTGACGCGTTTCTGTTGTTGTTTCTTATGGTTTTCAGGAAATGACATCTACGGCATTCTTTCCTTGATCAGTGGATGTGCGTGAGTACAGACCAATGCCGATGTGGTACGGGCAAATTAAGATCAACACGCCACCAAACAGCATCAACTATATAGTATAAGTATAAGAATGCTCCTAGTAGCGATGCCAGGAGCCCCTAGTAGCGTCCTTGTTCCTAGTAGTAAGGCCAGGAGCCCCGATCGTAGCGTCCTCTACCCCCTTGCCAAAGGGAGGGCCACACAGACTCCGAAATGATTGGGTTTGCATCCAGCTACCCTGACCAACTCTTGCCAAAGCAGAGACGACTCCAACTGGCAAGCGTCCTGAGATGTGTCACATCTCTGGGGCGTGTAGAAGTACCAAATAGCTCGCAGGTCATTCTTATCCGGCATTTGAAGAAAAAATGGCGCCCAAAGACTGGAGAAGCAAACGATAAATTCTGGAGACTCACCAATGGCATCGATGGCATTCCGTGCAGCACCACTGTGCCCTGACAAAACCTTCTGCAAATGAGGGTTCACTCTGGCGGTGAACGCATGTTGGGGATAGAGCCGTTGCGGCAGCGCCCCATCAGAAGGGCTTTCCATCACTACTCTGTACCCCAAAGCTATGAGTTCCGCCGCAAACTCAAGCATAAAGCCAGAATCAGTTCTCATTGAAAAATCATAAGCCCAAAGAAGAAAGAGAGGTGATGGAGCAACCACTGTCTCCACAGGCTGTTCAAGAAAAACCGGGCCAGTGTCATCCTGTAATCTCACCAACCTCAGGGTTGGGCCACAACCAGCGCAACTAAAGTGTTTCATCACTCTGCATTTCGACATACTTATTAAAAAATATGATCTAGCACTTGCCACACATGGTCAACATGATATAAGAAACTGCCCGGGTCCTGCTTGTGATAATTAAAGACCACGCTGCCAAAACAACTGCGCCAGCACATAGGGCCAACCGCGACCAAGATGCCAACATGTCATTTGCGTGAGTCTCACAAATTGTGAGTTATTTGTTGTATTCGCTCGTCTGTTTAGGTTTGCGCCCGTTTGTCTCTTGTCTTGTCACTTGAATACTTCACTTGATTCAGACCATACATGTATAGTCGTTTGTGTTGAGGCTTAAGTAACAGTGGAGTGTAGGGACGCTCACAGCTGTTGACTTCGCTTGGACAAAAGAAGCGGGCGCAAGTGCGTTTGGGCTCGTGGTGACAGGCCACCTGTGCAGTTTTCGAAGTGAAACGTTGCCCGAAAATGGGGGATTGTTCGACCGATCACTTTTCTACCACCTTTAAGCGTCGGAAAGAGGTCCAACTACTTACGTATTGAAACTTACTTAAGGCACTTGTTCCTAATAGCGTTCTTGCTCCTAGTAGCGTGGCACCTGTTACTACTAGTAAGGCACTTGTTACTAGAAGCGATGCACTTGTTCCTATATTGAAGCTTGCAGTGACACGTGTTTGTTTTGCTCTCTTTATTCCCTCATCCGGCATACGGGCTCGAGCGTAGGGACGCGTGAATTGGCAACATGTAGATCACCTCACCGACCTTAACTGCATGTGTTTCACTGGATGCCAAGCATGGAGTGCCTTTGGAATCTTTTTCGTGCGCTTCGGCTTAAATCAAACATAATCAAACGATCACAACAACGGTTTTGATCCTGGAGACAGACAGACAGGACAGGACAGGCCAGACCAGAACAGAACAGAACAGAACTGTTCTGTTCTGTTGCCTTCTCAGGAGTCTCAAAGCAACTGAAGTCTCCTGGCAAAGGCCGTACAGGCACATACCCATCCAGGACAGGATGCAGGCCCGGCTTGCTGATTGGGGAGCACTGTGGCACATCAGGGAGGGCACCCCCCTGACATCACCTAGGCTGCCAAAGACCAGGCGGCCATCCCACCACCAATCAGTGGGGCATTTGAAGCATGTCCTCAAGCGCCTACCACAAGGCTAGCGGCCCGGATGCAGTGACAGCACAACTGCTTCGATCAGCACCTGTGGCGCTACCGCCCCTCCAGCAGCTCCACCAAATGGAAGCAGCGTGCCTCCCCTCCCAGTTGAGCACATGGTGGTGGCAAAGAATCGCATCGAAAGGCCCATCATCTTGACATGGCAGACGTTGCCGACTTCGAAAAGAAAAGGGGCTCCTGGATGACTGGCAGCCTACATGGATCACAAAGCCAGGCCAGGGGCCGTTTTGCATGTGGCACTTGGGAGAGTTCGACAGTCACCAAGGCCCAACAAGAGACATGGCATCGTTCATGGACATATCCACTGTCTACGACACAGACCTTGTTCGGCTCCACTGGCCTATCCACCTCTGGCGGAACCAGGACCCAAGGAACTGGAGGACCAAGACCCAAGGCGATCGTGGCCGAGGAGATGACACCGTTCTTCGAACTGTGAACTGTGGGGTCGCAGCTGGTGGCCCACAAGCTCCACTACTGGCCAAGGCCTATTTGGCACCAGCCTTAGTGCCCTGGGTGGAGCACCACCCTCACATGCACCTCAGTGGCTGGGTTGACAATGTTGGCTATGACTGTGAAGGCCCATAGCCCCACGCAGCTGGCAGCACAGGCCGTTCACCAACGCCTTACCGACGGACGGGCCTCCGAGTCAATCAACACAAGACGACTTTCATCGCCACGGATGCACCAGCAAAGCCCAAACCTCCGGTGGCAATCGACAAATGCGCGACGGGAATCGACAAATACCGGCCGCTCGGAAACGACAAAGACCTGTGCTCAAGAAGCGGGTTCACCAAAGCCAAACACCGGGGCCTGAAGCTCAGGAGCCTCAAACTTCCCAACCTGAAAACATGGCTACGATTACATCGTGGTGGAATTCAGCCTGTAACGCTCTGGGGTGTGGAAAGGCAAGGGCTGGCCCCAAGATATCGTGCAACTCTCCGACAAGCATTGGCCGGGCACCTGGGCCACCAGCGAGGGGGCAATTTGGACATCACATATGACATCCATGCCAGGCAATACCAAGATCCAACAGATCAAGTGCTACAACAACACATCAAAGTCCCACACAGAACAGAACAGACCAAACCAAAGACCAGACCAGAGACCAGACCAGAAAAAATCGGAGCAGAGCAGAGTAGAGCAGACCAGACCAGACAAACAGACAGACACACCGGCTCGTAGGATGGCCGCTGTGAGGCTCTCATGGCGAAGGTGGAAAGGTCGGTGGTAATTATAGCGAGTGGTGCTGTGAGGGCAACGGTTGGATTGGGTGGGCGTGTGTTGGATGGTGTCGATCGTGTTGAGAATGGTGGTGTGTATCGAGGATCGCCCGGGATAGTCAGGGCGGTTGCTGGGCGCAAGGAAAGTGGTGGGTCGGGCGCACGGAAATTGATGTGTGGCAGAGTGTCGTAGTAGAGCCACTCGTACCCGAGGCTGGACTATCCACAGTACTGTAACTAGGATTTTACCGCACAAGCTTATTCGCACAGATTTTCAGAAACAAGAAATGAAGAAAAGGTGTACAAGGAGAGTCGAGGTTGAAACAAGAGTTTCAACTCGATTCGGTACGCGGACGACTTCTTTTTGCTGCATCCAGATTGAACGTTCCTTGGATTAGTTTAGTACACCCCGAGTCCCAGGATGTCGAGATGAGTTCGTTTAGGTCGCTTGAGAGTTGTTCGTCAGTCACTGCAAGTCAGAAGCGAAAAACGTGGGTAGCGCACCTTACGAACTTACGGTAAACTACACTTCCCCTGGATCTTTCCACTCACAACAGGCTCACTCGATGCGTCCGGTACACTCCAAAACTCGTTCTCACATTCTTGAAACTCTCCAAGCAAACAACAACGAAAGCCAACGCAGCGCACTCCTTCGCGCACTTTTCCCCACACTTGAGCCAAAAGTAACGGTCATCGAACGACTGTACAGATGCATACTACACACAAGCAACTCTTTACAAAAAGCTTCTAAACACTCGAAAATGCTAAAGAACTTTGTCAAAACTTCAAGAAACGAACTACAGTGTTAAAGTCCGGTGCTCTCCCATTAAGAACACAAACCAAACAAAGAACCAAACAAAGCAACAAGCACGAGCGAGGTGGCCATCCAACCAATGGATTTCTTCACCCGTCTTGGACATTTCGCTCGGAACAACTGGCTGACATCAAGCCTTCTTTTTCTTCTTCAGTGAGGACAGACATTGCGAACAAAAGTCTTTCGACATTGGTGCGACCATGCCTGAGCAAGTTGGATTCAAAGGAACCTTGCTCCCACTCACTGGAAAGTAGACCTTCTCACACTGCCCCAAAGACTTGGGCAATGGTATATCACTCACTGTGACAGAAAGTTCCTTCTTCAAACGACTCTGAGAATCAGCATGCTCACGACGCCGACTCGGACAGCAGCAGGTCAGCAGGCTGCCACAAATGACTCCCGCTGCAACGACCATAGCGGCCGCATCAACCGCATTTTCTGCACTCCGAAGGGCAGCAATGGGAGGCAAGATCCAAGGTTTCGCATCATCTGGACCGAAGGAGTTCTGCGCAAATAAGACCGATTAGAGCCATAAAGAGTGGCTCCTCTGGTGTTAATGGCAATACATTCCTGGTGAAACACTGTTTTGTGGATCATGTGTAATAGTCAGCTTCTGCAAAGCAGGCGGAAAGGTGAAACCTTCTGTCCACTCTGGGAAGGTCTGTTTAACTTTTTCTTTCTCGGTGTCCACAGGGAAAAAGTGGAGCAAATAGCACTGCGCTCGACTCCCTTTGTAAGGGAACTGGACCGTCAGATCTAGCACCCCATTCCGAATGTCATTGTGATTCAACTCAAACCGGACGAACTGAGTGACATCAACTGGTGAGCCATCATCCGCCACAAAAAGTGGCTCTTGCGGGAGCTGCATGGTGAAAGCAGGGGTGTCCCAAGGTGGGACGGAACTCCCTGGATCGCCTTCCATGGTACAGCGTGCGTGAGCGCAAACTGTAGGCAATAGGAGCAGGACCATAGAGGGCCTTCCTGACTGAGGGCGGCTACACGCTTGAGCCAAAATGGCTACGGAGTGTGGCATAAAGACTGATCGGAGGCGCAGTAGGGAGGGGCGTTAGGTTGCTCCAGTGCCTGCAGGGACAGCTTCTGGAAGCGATGCATTGTGTCGCCCCTGCCTGTTCTGTGTCCTCATGGAGGTAAATTTCTGCAGTAGTATCGCCGGCTTGCGGGGGGATCACCGACAGAACCACTCGTGTGGGGCTCTGGCATATTAGGGTCGGCAGCGACCTCTTCTTTTGTTGCAGCAGCTGCAAGGCCATCCAGCCCACGAGAGTGTACGTGTGGACCCAGCTCCGGGATGCTGGGTAGTTGCTCCGCGGTTTTCTGCGCAGAGGAGCGTCGCTTGACAGCTTTCGATTTGACCGCGCTGGGTTTCCTCGGCGACTGCCGTGTTTTCTTCTGCGTGGCAGCCATACAGGGGGCTGCGTGCTCTTCGTGGCTGGACTGACTGCTCGGCGACGCCGTTGCCGGTTCTACTCCACATGGAGGAGAGGCCGTGCTCTTTGGCATTTCTTGCCTCCATCGGTTTCGCCTCTTAACTTCTGTGGGGGGCGTGCTCTATACCCGATGAGGAAGTAGGGGGAGCAGAAGGACGGCTACTAGGGAGCCGCCTTCGCTTGCTTTGCTGGTGCGAGGTTGGTCAAGATGATCACAATGATTCGTTGGTCCGACACCCCATTCCGTCTGGGTTATGTAGAGTGCATGCCGCTTGGTACCGGTCTTCTCAAGGTGGGTCGGTGTCGACCTTTGCTTAAGGGACTCTCCTGATCCATTGTCAGTACCAGGTACTGGAGGTCGACTGCGGGGAGGTGTGATCAATGACTTGTGTGGTGTCACCTTTGTCACCCTGAATCTTGCCTTTTGCCTCGCTCGCATCTATATCGACAACTTCAACGTTGTCTGCGCTTTCTGCTTTCTCCGTTTCCTCCTCCTCCTCGTCTGTCTCGTCTTCCTCTTCTCCCTCTTCGGCTTCGTTGCCGAC